GCACCGCCAAAGCCGGTGTGACCAATGATGCCCTCGGAGCAGCGGTCACAGCATCAATGGCCGCCGCCGACAAGGAAGTGGTCACTTGCGGAGTAGAAGCCTCCCTTTGAAACAGAGACTCTCGCGCTGATGGACGATCCCCAGCCGACGCTTCCGCAGGAGCAGGAGATCTCTCTATTCGGCCGGGCGCATCCTCACGAGCCAATACCTCTTCCTCACTGGATAACGTCTCATGAACCGAGACGTCGTCATCCTCCTCAGATTCGCCCGTCTCCCCAGACGAGCGACTCGCCCAAGAGGGAGGATCCTCTTTGCTAGCAATTTTGTGGGTAGGATCAGCTACGAATGCAAGAAGAGGGTTAACAGAGGCCCCTCGAAAGGGACCCTATTGACAGTTGGGTACGGAAGAATGAGTAGTGCTAAAACCCACGCTTACCTGAGCCTGTGGGCCCCTCTTCATCTCCAGCCTCCTCCTCTTCGTCAGAAGGAACGGAGATGGGAACATTATCCTGACCTTCCGCCGCTCGGGCGGTCTCAACTGTCTCATCGCGACGGGCCTTCTTGGCCACCTCTGCTCGAGAACTTTCGGTTGCGGTCTCTCGCTGACGTTTAGAGAGAAACGAGCTACTCGGAGACAGAAGAGGCGTCTCCATCTGTCCAACTCTTGGACTCTGGACCGGTCTTGGGCGTTCAGATTCTCTTGGTTCACCAGGGGCATCCAACGAGGGACCAGGAGAAGGAACTCGAACCTCAGGAGCCTCAGATTCGTCTAAACCAGCGTCAAAACTCTCGGTGTCCTCAACTGGATCCTCTGAGAACAGCTCCCTAGCAGTCTGGCGGCCCCTTCGCCTTGAAGAATGGAGAGACCCTCTGAGAGGACGATCGCGTTCCGTCAGACATGAGCTCTGGAACCAGAAACCAGAGGGATTAGCGCTGGCGCCCCGATACCACCGACAGTATAGGAGCGTGTGGTGCAAATCACGATCCTTCGCGGGTAATTCAAAACGAGCCTAGGTGCCACCAGCATGGGTCCAGAACCATCCCCGAGCTCCGTCCACCAGTCCTCCTTCGAAGTGTAGGCGGGGATTGGCGTTGCCCACGTATAATTGATCATACCCAAACTGGCGGGCAAACCTGCAAGGGATATACGGCTCGAGGTAACACACAGAACTTGTGCGTAGGATGTGATACCCCGGCCGAATGTTTACCAACCATCGGAATGCGCCGCGAGGAAGAGCCGTGTGATGGTCTTCCGTCGGCACATCCCTAATAGACTCGCCGTATCTTCCTCCGCTGAAGTAGGGGAAGAAACGACGAAAGTTGTAGTGGACAAAGTGGGAGAGCGTCTTCCGCGCATCGGGAATGTCTTTACACTTCCAAGAGCACCTCTCTAAACGCTTAAGGAAAGGAACAAACATGTCTCCTTGAAGAGTCGCGGGAGCGCTCATCAAACACTCACAGTGGTACACAAACCACGCCATCAAGTAGGTATATGGCAGCCCCACTCTGGGATTGGGGGTCCTGATAACTTCCCCTTTTCCTTCGTCGACAGTCGACACACGGCAGAACTGGGCCGTCAACGTGCGGAGTCCTCGGTGGATACACGCTATCGTTGCCGACACCAAAGAATAGGACTTCCCGTGGGCCAAGCAAACCGCAGGATACACAACCTCCACCGGGAGCGCCTCGAAGGAATGAGTGGGAACCACGCACCTCTTCAACCACAACATGAGGTACCCCGCGAGCAAAGCCTTCCCAGAGATAGGAGACATGGCCTGGTGGTGAAACGAATGGAAGACCATTCCAGATTTGAACCCGCCCTCGTCATGATCGAGAGCTATAGTGGCTTCCCCTTCGGCCATCCTCTTCTCCACTTCAGCCTGATCGCATATACGCAACGGCAGAGCAGCCATCCCTTTGACATCACCCTCCGGGAATAAATAATCAGCCCAGTTCTTGTGACTGATTCCCGGAGCTCTCTTCTTCTTACCCTTGTGATCCACCGCCCCTAAGGTGTTGAGGCATATGTGATAGTGGCAGAGAAATTTCCACAGAGTCTCAACCACCAGTGGGGAGTGGGCCGAGAGCTGGTCGATCTCATCTTGGTCGGGAACGTACTCTTCATACGGAAAGTCGCCCAGAGGCAGTCCCGACACGTCGTATATCTCGTGGAGAGTTATGCCGAGCTCACCGTTGGGGTGTAAAACGTGCCACTGTCGGCACAATATAGCTCCAAGACGCTATGGAACTAGGGAGCATTGATCTTCAGACCATGACAAGTGGCCTGAATGGCCGCATACAATTCTGTATTTGCAAGGTCGGAATTCTCGGCCAGGATGTAATCGGTGATCTTGGACCACCAGGTCTTACTGCCAGGCGCGGAGTAGACCCACCCCGGAGCTCTGAAATCCTTTGGGGGAAATCTCCCGCCGGCTCGGAAGAAGCGATGACGGAAGGTCTCCGCGACTGCTGTCGTTTCTCCAGTGGGCGCCTCATTGAACGGTAGACCCGGACGCAAGCCAGTCACCCGTTTACAGGAGCTTTCTACCCCGTACCCTGCCGTGGAGCCTGTAAAGACACCACAAGTCACCCCGTCTTGAGTGGGGGTCAGATCCCAATTCATAGTCCTTGGGACCACAAGAGAGCGCAGCTCAACAATTGAGAACCCCCTCGGCATGTAGGGGAGATAGTAATGGACCCCGTCCATTACGCGGAGCCACCTGCTCTCTTTGATCAACAGGGCAGAAGGACCAGTGGCAGAATCGCCAAATAAAAACTAAGGCTTCGGCAGCTCCACCCTATTCTCGTCTGTCAGCGCCGCGTCAGTGGTCAACTCGCGCAGCGTTAGATGGTGCCCATCGGCGACTCTCTTTGTCGAGCCGACCGGCTTATCAGCGGAGAACACGGGCACCGGACCCAGTGAAGGAAACTGGGGAGGCCCTGTGCGCCTTGCACCTCCGGCAAGACCGACGGCCCTGCCCTGTGGAAGGGCTTCGTCGGAAAAGGTTGCTGCAAGAAAAGACACAAGAGTCAGGATAGGATCCGCCCTAAGGATAAATCCGCCAATCCAGTAAAAAATGAGCGAATTCGCTTGTCGGAAAGCGAAAACAACGCCCCCCTTTTACCAGAGAAGAGGTTGAACTCGCCTATCAAGAACGAATTCGCCTCCACCCAACAAAAGTCAATTTCGCCTGTAGAGGCAGAAATCGTCCTCTATGAGCAAATATAAAATCCGCCCAAAAAGGGGCAGATTTTGCCCTAAATCAAGGGAGCTACCAAAGATGGTCGAACCTAAGGGGGATAAGCGAGGCTCATCCGCCAGACCCAACACCTATAACCTACGCGAAGTCATTAAAGGAACCCCTGGACTTACCCAAGTGTGTCTCAGGTATGCGGACGGGTGCACAGGCGGCGAGGCAGTCGGAATAGCGTCCGGGACCTCCTCCTTTCGCGATACACTTCTTGGATTTTGGCGCCATTAAAGGGATTAAGCGGGAACTCTCTCTCTTTGGAAAACTTTCAAGATTCTTGAGCACGGTAACTCTCAAAGAAAGAAGAACGGCATATTTAACGGAGGAGCTGCCAACGTGGCCACGATCGCCCTTAAAAAGCGAAATACTGGCAGACGGGAAACGTGACCACGATCGAAATCAACGGTCCAGATCGCCCCCTGGCATTTCGAAGTGCCACGTCGAAGCGGGAGAC